GGGCTGGTCTATGGAGGAGGGGACTTGGTGCTCCGCGGATACACAGACTCGGATTATGCGAACGAAGCAGGGCGTCACTCCGTTGGAGGTTACGTGTTTACCTTGGGAGGAGCTACTGTCAGTTGGAGGACTAAACGTCAAACGGTCATTGCAACATCCATAGCTGAAGCAGAATACATTGCACTGTTCGAAGGGGCAAGGGAAGCTACATACCTTCGCCGCTTGTGTGAAGACCTCGGTTTTCGACAGCAAAACCCTACCGTCATCTTTGTGGATAACCAAAGCGCAATTGCACTTGCAACCGGGGAGCAGATGAGCCAACGCATCAAGCACATGGACGTCCGTTACCATTGGACGAGGAAGGCCATTCGTGATGGAGTTGTGCGGCCGGAGTACTGCCCAATAGCTCAGCAGGCAGCGGATTATCTCACCAAGCCCCTCACAGCAAAGCAACATCTCACCTGCAGCCTCTTGTGCGGTCTCCAACCAATTCCACATGGCGCACCTTCTGCACTCAGTACTCTAATTGACGCCGCTGGAGCTGCATTTTCACGTCCGGGATTCCCAAGGGGTGCTGGACAACAAGGCATCACGTAACTCCACACATCTCACTCATGTGTTTGGTGCTGTGTGCGTGCTCACGCATGTGCATGACTACCAACACAGGAGTGAGAGGGGGAGTGGGGTGTGGAGTATTTTGGGGTGCAACCATTCGGGATCTGATCGCACAACGCTGGAGTATTTTCGGCATTACAAGAGTCAGCCCATATGCATCAAGAGAAGACCTACTGCAATCAGTGACAAGAGCAGCCATCAAATTCTGTTGGACAGTCGCTGCTGGTCTGTCACAACCACTCGCCAACTGCAACGGCCGTTCCTGAAGACTTCATATGCCTGCTGGTTTCAAGGGGGGGAAGAAACAAGTCAGCATGAGTCAGCATGAGGCAAGCAGACAGAGGAAATCACAAGAAGAAGCTGACAAAGTCCTACTAAATACAAGGGAAGACAGCTGGAGTCAGGCGCTGCTAGGACTGCTCACCAAGGTGACACAGGTGCTGCTGATACTGCTGCCACCCAGTGCTGGAGCTGCACCAGTGCAAGCGGCCAGGGCATCAGGGAGAACTGCTGCAGGGCTTCAGGTGCTGCAGGGCGTTAGGGGGAGCTGCTGCAAGCGACCAGGTGATGCTGCCGCCACCAGTCAGGTGGTGCTGGCAGACGTTTGCAGAAGCAGCCGCCAGGTGCAGGAGCGGCCGTCAGGTGCAGGAGCAGCCGCCAGGTGCTTGTGTACCAGTTGCAACTGCTTCCGTCCACCACCTGGTATAGGGGGAGTGGCACAGGGCAACATGGAGCAACACAGGGTCAAGGGGGGCAGCACAGGGTAACATCATAGGGTACAAAGGGTAACATGAGTGAAACAGTCAGGTTCGACGAAGCATTCTCACCTCGGTAGGAAGGAGAAAGCCGTGCGCTGCCAGGAGTAGCAGCAGTGGGCCGCCAGGAGTAGCAGCAGTGGGCCGCCAGGAGCAGCAGCCGTGCGCCACCAGGAGCTGCAGACGTGCACGCCAGAGCGCCAGGTGCTGATGCCGGCTGCAGCCGCTCACGCTCGCTAGCTGGTATGGGCGGGGGCAAGGAAAATCACAAGAGAATGTGGGAGCAGTAACAAGTGACTTAGCACGGTCAGTGCTGTAGTACATCAATTGCAAGGAACACACATGGGTGATGAAGAGGTCAAGGTGCAAGCAGTGGTAGTGACACGGTGAAGGGCTACTCACCAAGTCACGACAGAGTAGGCACGCAGCTGCAGTGGTGCGGCGTCGGAAGCTGCTGGTGTGAGAAGGCCCCGCACCTGCCAAGAGCCAAGTATCGCACTGCAGATGCTGCCACAAGGTCGCCCGAAATGGCAAGAGGAGGGCGCGCACCAGCAGAAGCCGCCACATGCGATGTAATGCAGCGGCGCGCATTCTGCTGCAGTCGTGCGCCAGCCGCTGCTGCCGATCACCACGGGCGCCATGAACAGCAGTCGCGCGCAAGAAGCTGCAGCGCGCGGGTTGTCAAGCGAGGAAGTCACGGCAGCCGCGCGACCGAAGCAGCAGTCGCGGATCTGGCCGCAGCCGCAGGAAACGCGCATCCGGCGCTGCAGGTCGTCACGTGCGCTGCTGTCACCGAGCGCCAGCCATGAGATGGCGAGCGCTAGTGATGCGCGCTAGCTACAGCTGAAGGACATCGCGCCATGGCGCAGCGCAACGCAAACCAGAAAATCGTCGCGACTAAAGCAGCAGTCGCACGACAGCAAAGGAAATCGAGTCAGCACTGGAAGGCAGAAAAAGCAGCGCGTCATAGGTCACATGACCAGAAAGAAGCCGTGCGCCATGAAGATATTCGCCAGCAGCAGCTATCCTAAGACCAAGGGAGGCAATCCGCCCTGCTGCTGGGAATCGCGCTGACCTAAACTGTCATTTCACCGTGGAAATTGCAGCTTGAGCAGCAGCCATCGATCTGGAGGTCCTGCATGAAACGAAAGACTGGGAATCGAGAATGACGAGACAGTCAGACCCCTGCTGGAGAAGGGTGTGGGAGAAACGGGAGCTGTGAAAAGCGACAAACTGAAAGGAGAGCTTGACAGGGGAGCGTACAGTGTTCGGGAGTTCGAGAAGCGGGGACGAGAATCAGAAACCCTAGGAGGGAGGAACTTGTGTCGCGACAAACAAGCCAGGTCGCCAACTTGGGAGGAACGTGCACCTGCGCGTCGTCACAACTGCTACGGAACTTTCCGACCATCTCGATTTCCCACCAATGCAGTTTCTGATCACGAAACGGTCAACGTAAATCAAACCGCCGCAATCCCCGCTGGAACTAAAATCACTTCCGCAATCAACTCCACTCAATCAATCCTGCCGCAATCAACGCCAGTTACAGGTATCCTCCAAGACAAAACGCAGTAAAACCTACAGCAAGGGGGAGTGTCAAATACACCAACATAAGATATTACAAATGCTGTTAGATTTTACTGTAGTGTTCCTTTATAAGACTCCTAGCCCTCCAATAACTGTACAATTATTGGAGGGCCAGAATTATTGGAGTCTAGAATTATTGGAGTCTAGAATTATTGGAGGGTAAGAATTATTGGCGGGTAGAATTATTGGTGTAGGATTATTGGTGTGGACAGGGCCCTCCTGATGGGGTGAGCTGCTGACATATATACCCTGCTCTGTCATTCCAGGAAATCAATCAAATCCATTATTCTCATTCTGCTTTCAACCATTCAGTGCAAGTCTTCCAGCCTTGCTCTTTCTGCAATCTAGCTTCCGCAACGCCGGCATCATGCCTTTCTAGCAAATCAAACCTGATCTGATAGCATAGTCTTATCTTGATAAAATTCTGATTTCGGTAGTACCGTATATCATTGGTTGGAACCAGGCCCTCAGATTCGTTTTTGGCCTGTCTGATTCGTCAGACTAGTATGAAGTTTTAGTCTGAAACTCTCAGAGTTGGTATAAAAAAAAGGCTGAAATTTCAGAGTGCTAAAAAAATAAAGTCTGAACATCGAAATCAATGTATTCAATGTTCATCAGAAATGTATTCAACGTTTCATTCATCTGATATTGAAACATGCTAGACTAAGGGGATTTCGGGAGAACATGCTCTGACGGCGAATCTGCAATGTCAGACGCGAATCTTGTGTCAGAATCTTGTGTCAGGGAGAATTCTATGGTGATTGGGCGAATCTTGTGATTGGGCGAGTTTTTGTGTCAGGGAGGGCGAATCTTGTGGTCTGAAAAGGAGAATCAGCAATGTCAGACACGATTTTTTGGTGATTGGGCAAAATTGCTGTGCTCTGATGGCGCACATCTGTGGTGTCAGGACGATTGGTCGAAAATTCTGTGCAGTAAGGCGCGGATTTGCTGTGACAAGGCGATTTTTCGTTGACAGCGCGAATCAGAAAGTTCATACGCGCCCTGTCGGAGAAACACGGGCGATTGCGGGATCGCTTCCGCGTTCTCGCGGAAGCGAGCTGCCCGCGGGCAGAAAAAAACTAAAACCCGCTCGGAAGGCATGCGGCTCGGGAGCATCAACCCTAAAATTTTAGGGTTGAGGCTCCCGAACGGCATGCCGGTCGCGATGGGGAATAGTTTTGTTTTGCCCCGGGCAGAAGGCTTCCGCCAGGAGAGGGACCTGGTGGGTTTGCGCCCACCAGGGCTCGGATGAACCTGCTGTGACCCGTGAAGTCCGAATCACCAGTCAAGAACGCGTTTGTACTCTGAATGATCAGAGTACACTCTCGGAAAACTCTGAAATTTCAGAGTTAGCCTTTACATTTGTCTGAAAATTACAGAGTTGGGGCCCTAAAATCTCTGATTTTAACAGAGTTCACTTCAAAAAAAATCTGAATTCTCAGAGTTTTTCATGCAAATCAGAGAAAAAAGTCTGACTTCTGAGGGCCTGGTTGGAACATACTGAAGTTGACAGCAGGGCAGAAAATGTGAGGCAGACTGGATTACACAGAATGCAAATGTCTGAACTTGCATGAGCAATTTTACTGGTACTGTATAAACTTTCCAGCATGAAAAGAACAAAACCACAGCCATTCTCCTGCTCTTTACAGCCTGATTTTGTGGAGTCGCTGGACTGGAACAAATACAAGCAGCAGCTTTCCTAACCTCCAAGTAGCAAACACATCTCCTATATCCACACTCGTCTCCATTTTTCCATCATCACTGTCACCATACCCGCCTATCTGCCTGCACACACCCTCATTAGAATCCAACCTCCCCGTGGAAGCAAGAGAGGGGTCAGACCCCCCTATTACGGCTGGCATCTTGTTCAAAAAGCCCTGCACCTGCAAGATCTGAGTTAGACACGACCCAATCCATGCCTCTCTCTCTCATTCTTCACACCCCTTGCCTCCACGCCTCTCCTCCTCAGTCTCCCCTAGTTAGTAACACTCAACTCTTCCTCACCTCACCTCCCTTTCCATCATCCCTCCCTGCCACCCTACCCACCTATCCGCCTGCGCGCAGCATCGTTCTCAAGGAAATCCCCTTCTGACGTATAGAGTTTTGTCAGCTTGGTCAGGGCAGTCAGCTGCTGCAGCCCTGCATCCGTGACTGCCTTACAATTCAGACCAAGATACTGAAGCCCTGTCAGCTTCCCTACATGCACCATGCCAGCATTCGTCACACCCTTGCAGTTTGAAAGCCACAGATGTTCGAGAGAGGAGAGAGATGTCAAGTGCTGCAGCCCAGCATCGGTCACGTTGGTCGATTGGAGATCGAGGTGCTTGAGACTGGTCAAGGATCTAATGCCTTCCAAGGCACTGTCTGAATCGACAGTGCCTATGAGGCCGAGCGACTCCAGCCGTGGCAGGCTGTAGAGGTGCTTGATGCCCTCTTCACTGAAGCCCGAGGTATGGTGCAAGAGAATGCTCTTCAGCTGGGTCATTGTGGACACATGGGCGAGCATGGCGTCTGAGACACCTTTGCGACCCTGCAGGTCCAGGTGGGTCGCTTGTGATGCTGACTTGATAGCCTGGTGAAAACAGAAAGGAAAAGAAAAGGGATGATCCCAATGACAAGAAAGAATTAGCAAGTGACGCATGCCCTGTTGAACCATGCATGCCCCGTGAGAGAGTTCGCTCAGCACTCACCTCCCACGCCGTCTTTTCATCGCCTCCACTCTGGCTTATTTGCAGGTCATCATCCAACTTCTTGAGAGCATCCTTGTGCTCAGCCAACTCCCGCTTCACTGCTGCCAGCTCTCCCTCCCTCTCTTCCATCACAGCAGCAGTCATCTCATTCTTCTCCTCCACAGCAGTCAGCTTTAGCCGCAGCTCTTTCACCTCCTCCTTATATCCAGCCAGCTCCTCTCTCACTGCTGCCAACTCCTCCACTAGAGAAGCAGTTGCATAATTCCTCTCCTCCACCGCAGTCAACATGTGCTGCAACTCATCCCTCTCCTCCTTGTTTGCAGCCAGCTCCGCTCTCACAGCTGCCACCACCGCCTCCTTGACCGTATCAATTAGTGCCCCCATCACTCCCTCAGCGGCCATATCGTCCACTCACTCCCCCCAACAATTCTCCTCCTATGACCGATCCTTGCCTTCACTGCAGCCTGGCAAAACAAGACAAGGCCGGAATAGAGTAGGTTCAAGCGTCAGAAATAGGGGGCAAAAGGGGGAAAGTCAAGGCACACACAGTCGAGCGCATATTTGGATGAGCCATCAGAGGAGAAGCTTGTGCAGACACACATGCATTTTGCATGAAGCCTGGCAGCAATGGAACAAGGGAAGGCCAGGAGGAGAAAGAGAAGGCCAGGAGGAGAAATAGAAGGCAAAATGTCAGGAGGGGCAAGAAGTGCGAGCAAGGACCTAAGTTGGAATATACGCTAAGGGGCCTTAGCGTTCAGCGTTTGAACGCTAGCGTGTATACGCAATACGCGAAACGCTAGCGAATACGCTATACGCAACCCAATTTTTTTTTGGGGCAGCCCGCCCGACCCAAAAATTTTCAAACACACCAAAAGATGCGGAATGGCACGGCGAGTGATTCTGCGACGTCAGATTGCACGTCCGAGGTCTAGGGTTGCGGGAAATTGGATTCATGTCCTGGTGTCGCGATTTCACTTTCACATGTTGCACGTTGACATATTGATGGTCACGTACATCGAGTCGCGTGTGCACGTTTGAACATTTCTATCCCAACACGTTACCGCATTCAAACCCACAACATTCATTCAGTCCAACCCTTCCGACCCAATCCCCCGCCACTCGTCATGCTATTTATCAACTCGTCAGAACGTCCATCCCATTCAGTAATCCTCTCCCGCTACCAACAACTAGCCTCAGTGCGATGTCATCCAGCAGTCCGCCTCTCACGCCGCATTCCGATCAGTCTGTGGAGAGTTCTATCCCTCGTCCAGAAGGGACCAGGGAGTACCTTCCCGATGTAGTCCACGACGTCTTCAAGCACTTCAGTATCATCAAGCGCGAAGAGGGCAAGGCACAGCAGTACGAGTGCAAGTACTGCTTCAAGGTCTTTTCAGGTCCCGCCATCCGATGCGCTCAGCACCTTAGCTCATGGAAGAAGATGAAGCGCCGCGAGGTGGCGCTATGCGGGAAGGCACCTGCTGATTTTCGCCTCGAGATCCGCAAGAAGTACGAGGCGCAGGCTGCTGCGAAAGAAGAGAAACAGCGAGCGGTGTTGGCTGCTATAGCATCGGTCAAAGCCGGTGGCAAACGGGCCCGCATGACCGACTACCTCGAGGGCGACGCTGCTACGGCAAAAAGTGAAGCACATGAAGGTCTTGCGCTCATGATTGCCGCATGTCGCCTCCCGGAGAACCTGGTCGAACATCCGCTCTTCGTCAACTCTATGCACCTGGTCGCCCGCGCCGGGAAGGGCTACCTTCCGCCACGTCGCAAGTACATCGGAGGTGCCGGACTGCTCGCTTGCCGCAAGGGTATTGAGAACGGCTTGATGGGGATCAAGGCTAGCTGGAAGAAGACAGGTGTTACCATCGCGTCCGACATGATGACAGACAAGTGTGGCAGGCCGCAGGCGAATGTCCTCCTCGTCAACGACGCGGGCGCTGTCCTGAAGGAGTGTGTGGACTGCAACATGGAGAAGAAAACAGGGGGGTACATCGCGGGGATACTGAAACCCGTCGTGGAGGAAGTCGGACCCGAGAACGTCGTCGCGTTCTGTATGGACGGGGGTTCCAACTACGCGTCGGCGTGCCGGAAGCTGATTAAGATGTGGCCCCACATTCAACAGGTTCCATGTGCCACCCACGTCATGGACCTGATGATGGAGGACGTGGGGAAAATGGGGTGGGCAAAAAAGGTAGTTGACCGTGGCGGTGAGATGAGCTCCTTCACCCGCAACCACCATTGGACGCGCGGTTACTTGCGGGACTGTAAGTTGGTGGAGGGGAAGGTGTTGCAGCCGTTGAAACCCGCGGGGACCCGCTTTGGGACCCAATACATTGCTATCTCCCGTCTCTGTCAGCTTCGCCCCACCCTTACGCAGATGGTCGTCAGCGACGAGTGGAAGGTGTGGGCTGCTGGATCGCGCAAGGAGGTTGCAGAGAAGTTCGCCGCGCAGGTACTCGACACGGCGTGGTGGAAAACTGCCGAGTTTTTCACCAAGCTGATGCAGCTCCCTTTCAAGGCGATGCGCATGACTGACGGGGAGGCAAAAGGGATGATGGGCAGGATCTATGACGTGATGCTTCAACTCACGGAGGACGTTGAGGCTCTCGTGGACGCGGATGAGGAGCAGTTGTGCATCAGCGATAAGAAGCAGATCCGCCGCATCCTCAAAGACCGGTGGGACGAGAGCCTCGCGTGCGCCATGCACGTGGCAGGCCGCATCCTCAACCCCGCGAACCAGGAAGAGGACATTTTCGGCGGCGACGCCGAATGCACGCGAGTCTTCAAGGCGTTCCTTCACCAGCATGCGGAGTTCCTCGTCGGCCACGACGGGAAGGGGAGGGATGCGGCCTGCGATTACTTGGTTGAGCTGGGGGACGGGCTGAGAGATTTCATGGACATGAAGGGTAGTTTCGGGATGGCAGAGGCTGTGGCACAAAGGGAGATGGTGAAGGCGGGAAAATACAGCATGGTGAAGTGGTGGCAGTGGAACGGAACAGATGCCCTCGCCTTGCGTCCCTCGCCATCCGGATTCTCTCGCAGCCCGTCTCGGCTTCACCCTGTGAGCGTGGCTGGTCATCGTGGGAGTCCGTCCACACTGCCCGCAGGAACCGCTTAGGATCCGCCAAGTGTGCGGATTTGGTGTTTGTTGCGCACAACTGGAACGTTGTGCGCAACTGGCACACGCGCAAGGATGTGATGCCGAATGTTGTGTGTGGGAATGAGCCGGAGCCCCCCATCCCCGAAGGTTACAATGTGCTGGATGAGCAGGAGGAGGAGGAGGAGGAGGAGGAGGAGGGTGAGGATGAGGACGCCATCTTGGAGGACGAGTATGAGTAGTGGGTAACGAAGTGGGGGGGGAGGAGGGTGGGTATAGTAGGGAGAGAGTAGTATGACTCGTAACTGGATTTGTATGGCATGGCTAATTTTAGTATGGGGAAAAAAAAAAAACAGAAACACATCCCGCATGAAACCCCACTGGACCCAATCCCGGGAGGGGTTTTTTACCCTGCCCGGGAAACTTTTTTCCCTGCCCAGAAATGCGTATCCTGGATCTGACCACTCTAGCGTTCAGCGTTCACACGCTAGCGTATATACGGAACGCGTATATACGCCAAACGCGTTTATGCCAACCTAGGCAAGGACTGCCAAGAAGGAAACAAATGGAGAGGGTGAAGACATGCAAACCGAAGGGGCGGCATTGGGTGGTGGAATAAACAGAACAGGCAGATATATTTTGACAGAGCATAACAGAAGCATTATAACAAACGAAACAGTGAGATGAATGGAATAAGATGGATAGGCGGGATTTTGACCAGGTTGGATGGAGAGGTGCACAGAGCATTGGTATGCACGTGGTGTACCGTCAGTCAGAGTGAGCTGAAACGAGCAGAGCAGCAAGAAAGTCCGAAGTACAATGCGGAAAGGACGAGGCAGATTTTGAGCAGAGAAGTGTTAACAAAAAACCAGCATCGTTAGGTGACAGGCGAACAAAGAAATGGGTGGCGTGGATAGGAGCACCCAAATTGGTCAGCTACTGTAGTGGTAGGAACAGATGGGATGAGTACATGCAGGGCTGAGGCGCATGTGAGAGGGGAGGAAGTGGTGAAGAGAGTTGGTATGCACACTCTTGAGGCTGATGAGAGGTGGATATAGGTTTGTGTAGTAGTGAAACAGCAAACAGCAGGAAGGGAAGGACGAAGAGGATAATTCTGGATATCACAAAGGTACAGAAAGCCGGAGGATACCCACCTCACAGGATGATAGCAAAGCGAGGAGCAACTGGCGGAGTGGCTGAAGTGTAACCGGAAAGGGGCAGCTGAGGATGTGTGTGACTGTAAGTGGAGTAAGGCACAAGGCACCGGGGTGAGGCGGAGGAGAAATAGGAGAAGGAAAAGAGAAAAGGAGACAATGAGATTTATGATGGGAAGTAAGATGGCATGGCGAGAAGACGGTGGCAGCAGGGAAGGGGCAGCTGAGGAGGTGTGTGACCGTGGTGGGTGGAAGAAGGCATGATGTTGAGACACAGGTGGCATGAGAGAGAGAGGAGATGAGATGAGACTGACATTCATGGCAGCGAAGTAGGTGAAATGGCAGGGAGCTTGCAGATAGTTTTGCGAAATCGAAGGAGAGCACATGGGGCGAATGAGATGGACATGGGAAGAAGTGAAAAGGCAAGAGAAAGGCATACAAGGGGTGAAAAGGTAGTGGCACGACACACATGAAAGAGTGAGGCAGGCAGGGAACACAGAGGAGGAGAGAGGCAGCGGTGCGGGGCAGCACATGGCCCATGCTTATCAAGTGCCAGGTGAACCAGATGGCAGCAGCGCGGTGCAAGTTGGAAGCCAGGCGTTTCTCCGTAGACAGACAGACGCACACGTTTTCGTGGCCTGTGGCGAAGGGGCGCACGGGAAGCGATGCAGATGGCAGCAGTGGGAGCTAGGAACTTCGCAGCAGACCGAGATCTGCAGACGTGGAGCTGAACAAACCGAGATTCGCAGGCGAGGATGAAGGGGCGCACGAGCAGCGAGGCAGATGGCAGCAGTGGGAACCAGGTGGTTCTCAGCAGACGGATTGACAAAGCTCCTCAGGTAGGAGAGAAAAAGGCTGTGAGGAAGCTCAACGGCACACCGACGAAACCGAGAGGAAGTATGCCGCTGACAGGAGGAACTCGGTGGAAGTGGGAAAAAACAAGTAAATGTTGGCTTAACCTCGGAAAAAAAAAAACGAGAAGAGAACAGAGGGAGAAGGGAGAAGATGGCACAGGATGATGAACGAGGGAGAGGAGGGAGGCACGTTACGATCAGAGGTGCCATGAGGCATGCATGGGAGGCGTCACCCAATCCTTCCATCGCACCGCACGCCTTCCATCCTGTTTACTAGCCTCGCACGCCCATTCCCATCCAATCCTTCCGCCTCGCGCGCCCATGGGCGCGTTCTCTCCGATGGATTACCAATTCATCGCACCTGTTGAGCTGTTCGCCTCTCAGTCGCCGTGGGCGAGGGTGGCGTGACGCTGTCATGACATACATGACATGGCATGGCCGCAGTGTCACAGTCAAAACTTGTCGACCACACCGCATGCGGTGCGCCCTGGCACGGCGTGTGGAACATCATCGTTGGAAAACACGAGAGGTGGGACCAGACATATCCCTCGCAGCGCGCATGGGGCATGACCCTTGACGTGATCGTCGTATCCGATGCACACTCGATTAACCGACCTCGAAACGTTTCCCATACTCTCTAGCCTTAGGCCCGTTATCCTAGGGGTGAGAAACAAAGGAATATGTCCTTTCGATACTGTCTACTCAAGACCACGAGGAACAGGGCTGACCAAGACGGTTATTGCTTCGTCATACTTCGATTTAATCACTAACATGATCTGCGAAGATGTGCCGTCACTGACATGACGTTTGGACATCTCACACGTGTTAGCATGTGTTCCACACAGAACCGTTTTTCAAGCTGGTTTGCAGTGTCACTCTCTGTAACAATGTGTTACAGCCCAAAAATGTACTGTACTCCGAGTCTTTGTTGCCCGCCATCAACATCGAGCACCTTAGATCGTTCAGGCTCGCCCTTTTGAACCGCCAATTCGACGATCCTTGTCCGCATGAACTCGATCCCCGCAAGTGTCGAATGCACAAACCCGATTTTGAATAGGCCCTTGGCACTTCCAGACCTCACTTCACGCAATTCACTCCCGGGTTACCATCCTTGCGAGATTGAAGCGTGACTAGAAAGAAGGTCCATGACAAGGAGGTAATCGCTGCGACTTGAGCCCGCACTCTACACGCGCGACCAGGGTATAGATTGGTTGACGAGATGGGGGATGACGTTGTCTTTCGCACAGCCTCGATGTCGCCACTAACCGCGAAGTGGCGACACGCAACGTCAATAATAGGGTTTCGTGCTCGAATTCCGTTGCAAAAACGAGGCCTTCGTACTTCGATGCACGAATTTTCACTGTGAATTGCGCAGCGAGGAGCGTGATGGCGAGACACGCGAACATTAGTACGAAATCCAGTGATGGATTCCGCCGCCGCATTCGCCATGGGCGGACACTCGGCTGCGTCGTGGCAGCTTGTGGAATAATTGCGGGGTATCCTCTCAGATAACGGTCTCTCATCTGACGGCCTCTCGGCTGACAGCTTCTGAGAGGTTGGCGCGCAGGGCATTGTGCACATCGAGGTGAGGAATCCGAGCAGCATGTGACATCGTTCCCTCATCCCGTCCCTTCTTCCATCCGTTGATGCCGTTATGCCTCTCCCTTACTGCATGCAAAATATCGCATCTCGCTTCTGCTTGCGGCTGAATAAAAGCAAGCAATGCTTTCCCCTGTGCAATGCCAACATCAGCTGTCTTCCATCACCCCCTCATTGCTCAGCCTTAGCAATTTCCTTTCCCCCCCTTTTCCTTTCCACGCCACCAGCAAGCACCATGTTTAGCGCATCTCTACCACACACAGACAAGTCGAGAGCTTGTCAGCTGAGAGCTACGGCATGGCAGAGCTACGGGCTGCGGAAGCAGCCGTGGTGGCGGGGAAGTCGGTAGCAGGCGAGCAGCAGCAGTGGTGGCAGTGATGAGCGAGGCATCAATGTGTCGGCTTTGTTCTTTCTCTCTGCGTCTTCCTGATTCTCTCTCAAAGTCGAACCCGCACAGTAGTACTTACGCCACGCGGGTATTGCTTTGTTGAAGAACCGGGGGTTTAAGTTGCCGCATTCGACATCCAAATCGGCCATGACTTGTGCGAATATGGCGCAGTCTCTGCAGTCGAGGAGCTGCACCTGGCGTTGCAAGCACACATGGCGCCAGCGGTGTTCCTGCCTGCCACACCGCGGGCTGCTGTCCCTCTCTGTGCGGGCGTTGTGAACGAGGAGCTACACTGCACCTGGCGCTGCGTGCACATATGGCGCTGGTGGCTGTTCCTGCCTGCCACACCGCAGGCTGCCGTTCCGTCCCTCATTGTGATGGCGTTCCTGTTCCTGTGCGCGCTGGCCCCGGCTCAAGGGCAACTGCGAGCACTGCTCCACCGCCTCGACTCTCACACGACCACATGTGGGCCTGCATCAGGCTTGTCTTGCCATACGGTAAGCGAGGACAAGCCTGGTGCAGTTCAAGCCTGATGATGCGGCCACTGTGCGTCTGTGGGGGGGTAGGAGAGGCCACTGTGCGCCACCCGCCTGGAGCTCCTCGAGGTGGAGAAAGGCGCCAGTAGCTGGACGTGTATGGAGTGGGCTGCTGGACGTCGCGTATGTCTCGCTCATCGCCACACGAGTGAGTGAGTGGGCTGCTGGACGTCGCGTATGTCTCGCTCATCGCCACACGAGTGAGTGAGTGGGCTGCTGGACGCCGCGTATGTCTCGCTCATCGCCACACGAGTGAGTGAGTGGGCTGCTGGACGTCGCGTATGTCTCGCTCATCGCCACACGAGTGAGTGAGTGGGCTGCTGGACGTCGCGTATGTCTCGCTCATCGCCACACGAGTGAGTGAGTGGGCTGCTGGACGTCGCGTATGTCTCGCTCATCGCCACACGAGTGAGTGAGTGGGCTGCTGGACGTCGCATATGTCTCGCTCATCGCCAGACGAGTGAGTGAGTGGGCTGCTGGACGTCGCGTATGTCTCGCTCATCGCAGCGTGCTGCTGGGGACACAACCCGGCGAATGCGGTGACAGTGAGTGGGCTGGTGGGGCTGGCGATATCATGGCAATTCTGCATTGGCTCGCGGAGGGAGTGGCAGTAGCGGCTGCTCGCCGGCATCGTCATCCCAGTGGCGCCTCGCTGCTGCAAGCGGAAAGGTGCGGGAGCTGGGAACCCTGCATCTTGTGAAGCTTTTCCCAGCGGAACGGAAAGTGGGGGACGTGTCGTTGCACCGAAGTGGTAGCCAGGGCTTCAAGTCCAGTTGGAGAGGTCAAGGGATGTTTGTCAAAGGGGGGAAATATGGATGGGGAAAAGGATGAGGAGGGGGTGGCTAGGTCAGAGCAGGCGCGGGCGTTGTGGCAGGGCGAGGACTTGATGCACACATGGCGGGGCGAGCAGACTGAGTGGGAGTGCCCAAACCAACTGCTTCTCCCCATCTCAGGTCGTCCTTCGCCCATCACCCTCCCATCTCCTCGACATCCCAGCCAAGCAGACCGTAGCCATCGCACCCTCAGGCACCACCTCTCCCTCCCTCCCATCACCTACACCACGATCACCCTATCTCTCCCTCCACGCCCCAACCCCACTCATGTGCTGTTCATTTATACATCTCCCCATTATCTCTGAACTATCCCCTCCCCCTCCAACCTCAACCTCCCCCCTCCATACACTTCTCCCACTCCTTAGAGGTTTGTTGATGGTGGCAGCAGAGAGGTGAGCCGTACACACTCCAACCATTCTTCAATAATCTCAGCTTTCACCCCCTCCATCACACCATCTCTTCCACTGCCCCCTTCCCCCATATCTCACTTCCGCTGCTGGCAGTTGCCCTGCCATCATGGCACGGCCTGTGGGGGGAGGTGGGGGTGGTGACGAGGGCAGAGCCAGAACGCTTGGAGAGGGATAATTAGCACCTCAAGCTGAAAGGTTTCTAGTTGAATGAGGGAACAGCTTACATGTGAGCCACATGAGCAGCCATAAATCTGTTCTATAGGATAAGGATAGTAGTGAAATAGCGGTGCAAGCACACCTCATCGCATGCCATATTTCTAAAAGGTATCCTTTTGCGTAACACTTCCTTTCTAGTCACTTGTGCCTGCCGTTTCACTCATTCCTGCCCTTTATCCATGCCCAACCTTTTCTCTCTTGCCTTTCGCACTTCTTTTTGCAGTTGTGGTGGTGGAGCTTCGGTGACACACATAAAGGTGGGAGCAATGCGTTGTAATGCTGTGATGCGTTGCATGCATCGTTGCTGGCTGCTACCTTCCGAGGGAAATGGTTTGAGAAACATAGAAGGGCAACTGTGTTTCTGAGGAGGAAACTTTGCAATCAATAGATGGAACGCAAGTGCACTTGCACAGCATCATATACGGTATCTCATCTGCCCCTCTCCCATGCTCCTTTCCTGCTTCACCTCTGTCTGCCCCCGACCTCAGTCAAGGGATGGTATTGCTGCTACTCGTGTACACCTTGGATAAGTGATATGCAGTTTTGCTTCTCTGATGGATATGTTGAAAAAGTGCTGCTGCGCTGCGGCATTATTGAATGAGCATATACGGGTAGATTGTTGCAAGCAATGTCCTATACACACTATACCCCCACTATCTATGTCCAGCCTACATTCAAAGCGAGGCAGGAATGACTCACACAGGTCCACTTACTTCTGCTTCACGCTACGTCTTGCGCCACCCACCACCTCAGCCAGCAATATAGTCTCAGAAAGTCATATAGCCAACTTCTCCCTTATGTA